CAAGGAGGGGTCGCTATGAGTGGGGTCCAACTCAACGGCACATAACAACAACATTCTTTTTTTTATTTATTTGTTTTGGGGTATATTCTCTTTTTCCTGGACATACCTGATCATTTGGCCTGTTTACCTATGTATCCACCTGAAACATATTGATGTTTATTACTGATAATGCAGTATTGTATATGTAAAAGGGTTTATCTTTGTTGTCTGTACCTCTTGTGCACTTCTCTGTGTCTTCTTTTTCCTTACTATTAATGTGTTGGTCATTTCCTTTTGGTATGTTGCCTTTCCATTCACCCAAATCAATACTTGTCTCTTACCTACCTAGCAATTTTTCCTCCTCTCTTCTTCCCCTCCCCTCCCTGGTAACTAACAAAGAAAGTTTCCCTCCATATGTAAACCTTTCCTTGACTTTTTACAATACTGGACTAATACAATATTTTTCCTTCAGTGATTAAATTATTTCACTCAGCATAATGCCCTCCAAGTTCATGCACATTATGAGGCGTTTCGTGGATTCTACATTATTCTTTAGTGTTGCATAGTGTTCCATTGTGCGACCCAAGGAGGGGTCACTATGAGTCAGGTCCGACTTGACGGCAGTGAGTTTGGTTTTATTTATATTTAAGAGTAAGATACTAAAAAGGCTGATTGGAAGTCCTGTATGCAAAAAAGTATAGCAAAGATTACTGATAACTTCCCAAATATTCATTTGCTCCTTCTTTCCTAAAGAACTCAATTTTATTGGAGATGTTATTAAGCCTTGCATGGAAAATTTTAAAATCAACTACATTTTCCAGTCCCTCTTGCATCTAGGAGTGGCCATATTATATAAACAGATGTCACTGGGTGGGACTTCTTGGAAAGTACCTTAACAAGGACACTTTAAAAAGAAGAAGAAGAAAAAAAGCAATTATCTATTGCTGTCTAACAAGTCACTCCCAAATATGGAGGCTTAAAAGTATCATTATTTACTCAAGAGTCTATTATTTAGACTGGTTTTAGCTGGGTATTTCTGGAAAACCAATTTGGCCAAGTTATCTGGTAGCTTAATTAGGGCTAATGGTCTAAGACTGTTGTTATTGTTGTTCTGTACCGTCGAGTCCTCTAGTCTGACCCGACTCATAGCGACCCCTCCTTGAGTTTCTGAGGTGGTATCACTATGGAAGTGGATTGCCCAGCCTTCCTTCCGAGAAGTGGCTGGTGGGTTTGAACCGCCAGCCTTCTGATTAGCAATCAAGTCCCTTAAGCACTATGCTACCAGAGCTCCCTGGTCCCAGATGGCCTCATTCTTAAATCTAGTGGGCAGATGGGGTCCTCAGTTCCCCTACCTCAGTTGCCCTCCACATAGCCTCTCCAGAGAGAAGTTCTGGAGATGCTTCTTTTGTGGTAGTAGCAACATTCTAAGAGTGCAAGCCTCAGTGAATAAGTACTCGTCAAGCTTCTGCTTGTGTCTCATTTGTTAATGTTCCATTGGCAAACAAGCCACATTACCAAGCCCAGACTTAATGTGACAGAGGACTATGCAGTTCTTGAATTAAGCAGCAAAGCAGCCAAGAGCCAGACTGAGAAGCATCATGGTTACTAGGTAACAACCTAGCAGTTGGTTATGGAAGTAGCCTATTGGCAAGCCTAAGAGTAGCTAACACACTACTTTGCACAGCAGGGGATTCCATTGTTGTTACTGAATGCCAAGGAGCTGAATTTTGATTCATAGTGACCCCATGTGACAGAACAGAACTGCCTCATAGGATTTCCTAGGCTGTGATCGCTACAGGAGCAGATTGCTAGGTCTTTCTTCCATGGAACCACTGGGTAGGTTCAAACTGTCAACCTTTCAGTTAGCAGCTGAGCACTTAACCATTGTACCACCAGGGCTCCTTTGGGCACCCCATTAGGACATACTAAAGTTCCTGTGCTTAGAGAACAACCACATAGAGTAGCTTGTTAGAAATTTTTCTAGATATAATTCCCAAGCCTTTAGTCAACTGATGGTAGATACCATAAATGTTATTAGAATGGAATACGCATGCTCGGTCAAAAATGATAAACAGAAAAACAACACCCCCACCAATGATAGCTAGTTGATGGTAACTACATAAAACCCAAACCCACTACTATCAAGTAAATTCTGACTCATAGCGACCCCCGCTAGGTTTCCAATTCTGCATTACTGAAGTTGATTGCCTCATCTTCCTGCCACAGAGCAGCTGGTGGGTTTGAACCACTGACCTTTTGGTTTGCAGCCAAATGTCTTATGTACTACACCACCAGAGGAAAATCATAGTTGAAGAAGAGAAATCCTGATATAAGGAATGATTCACACTACAGGGTGAATACCACCAATCCCAAGAACTCAGAAGTAGCTGAAAAAGACCTTGATGGAAAGAGAAGTCAAAGTTCTGAGGTCAAGTAGATAGGGATTCAATGCATCAAAGTTCATTTTAGGTTGATATCAAGAAAAATTTAAAAAGACTACTCTAGATTGAAAGAGACTAGTTATTCTTAAATTTTAATGAATTTTAGAAATATCTGAGAGAGATTTTAAAAGTAGTGCCTAAGGCACTTGACTGCTAACCAGAAGGCTGGCGGTTCAAACCCACCAGCCACTCCTTGGAAGAAAGATGGGGCAATCTACTTCCTCAGTGATACTACTACGGAAACCCAAGGAGGGGTCGCTATGAGTCGGGTCCGACTCCATGGCACATAACAACAACAACGATTAGGCCAAGGAGCTGTGGTGGTGCAGTGGTTAAAGAACTTGGCTGCTAACCAAAAAGTCAGTGAATTGAACCCACTAGCTGCTCTGTGGGAGAGAGATGTAATAGACTGCTTCATAAAGATTTACAGCCTTGGAAACCCTATGAGGCAGTTCTACTCTGTCCTTTAGGGTCGCAATGTGTCAAAGCTGACTCAATGGCAATGGGTTAATAATGGTCAGGCCACAAGCCAACACAGTTAGATTAGAATCTGTAGAGATGGGGCCTAGACATCATATTTTTTAAAAGTGATTGATTGCAATGTGTGGCCAAGGTGAGAATCACTGATTTAAGGAAAGCTAACAGAAAATTTAATGTATGAACTTGTTGATTAGGACAAGGACAGTACCAATGAAGTGTATAGTTGAGTGCAGAACTTGAAAGATCTACAATGGTTTGAAGTATATCAGTGGGTTGTCATTGGCCTGAAGTTAATGAGACCGCATCACAGTGGTATTCAACCTTAACTATACCAAAAGGAAAAAGAGAAACTCTTGCCTGAGTCCCACTCTAGAAATTCTGATTTAATTAATTTTGGGTATAGTCTGGGTATGGCTTGGACACTGGAGTGTTTCAAATTTCTCCAGGTGATTTTAAGGTCCAGCCAAAGTTGAGAACCACTGCTGTACATGTAGATTTACAGAATCTGAGTAACTAGATAAGGATTGGTAAGGTTTTTAGGGAGGACAAGTCTAAGAGTTGTAAGAGACTTTTTATTTCTATTTGAGTCCAGAGATTCTAGCAATAGGAGGAGCCAGGAAAGAGTTCTCGTATCATGGAGACTGGAACTTTTTCTCAAGAGCAAGGGGTATTAACATTAAATACATGGGTACAGGAACACCCCAAAATCCCCAAAACTGGAGGCCCCAGGGGGATGGGCTGAATCACTGTTGTAGTTAGAAGCATTAGAGAGGGACTGCTCAGCTTTTGAAGGAAACTACAAGATACAGAAAACTAAGAGTAACCTCAAGGAGTCAAGTCACAAGCCTAAGAGGCTTTCAGACCTTGGTTTAAACATGCCACTGAGATGTTGCAGAGTAGCAGGTGTAGGAAAGAGAAAAATGCACATGGTTTGTGAAAAGACTGGATAGATACAATGGTTATCCAAATAGAGGGCAAAGCCAGGTTCCTGTGGTTATCTCGGTCTCTCCTGAGTGGGAGGCTATTTGCAGGATCTGTCACTAGGGAAAGGGCTTCCTAAAAGAGAAACTCAAAGTGGAGGAGATATGGTAGGCAGTAGGGTGAGCAACTCATCCAGCTTTCCTGGAACCTTTGTAGTTTTGGTATTGGAATTCTATCACAGGAAACCCTTCAGTGCTGGACAAATTGAGATGGTTGGCCATGCTACCAGGGAGGGAAGGGGCCATATATCTCAGACCTGACAGTGATGCAGTCACAACTGAAGACTGACTTCAACCTGATTCAAGAGGAGCTCTGGGAAGAGAAAATGCACCAAAGTTGGTTCCTCCTGAGGCAGGGGCCAGGCTTTTGTATCTCCATGCAAACAATGTGGCTCTTTTGGGCTGAGGGCAATTCTCTTCCTACAGAAGTCAGTCTCAAAATTAGAGTGCATCAGAAATCACTTGGAAAGCTTGTTAGAGCAGATTGCTGGGACCGCCCCCAGCATTTCTGGTTCAGTGGTCGGAGGTGGGGCCTGAGAAAATATAGTTCCAAGAAGTTACCAGGTGACACTAATGCTGCTGATCCTGGAACCACACTTTGAGCACCACTGCTTTAGAGGAGGGGATGGCTGTGAGGCTCTAACAGCCAACACAGCATCTAGTAAAAAGGTATTTGAGTAGCACCTATCACAAGTACTAAGTTGGCATCTTCCTCATAAAAGCACACACCAGGAAGTAGCTGGATTGGAATACAAGGCTGAGGCTGGACAGACTATATTCTTAGGTCAGACTATCTAGATTCATGGTATCTGGCGTTATCTATCTCCCATTTTCTACCAAAGCATTGTGGAAACACTATAACAGCTTTGTGACTGGGCTTCTAACGAGTCTGGCAAGTATATGATGCTTTGAAGAGGGTGAGCTTTACCTCATTAGGTACGTAGTGGGGTCAGTTGCAATGAGTGGAAAGTCTTCAAAAGGGAAATAAGTATTTGGGGGCAAGGGTCCTAGAAGACCAAGTTGGGCATTCTTTTTGTTTTTTGTAATTAAACAAAGATGGCTTTTCACGGCAACTTTTAATTTCATAAGCCCAATACAAACAGTCCCCCACTCCCGGGGATCACCACCAGGTGAAGAGGAATGTATAGAAGTAACTGGCCGCCTTGCCCCGGTATGAGTAGCACTCATAGGATACCTGGTAGCCCTGGGCCTCAATGTCCATCTTCACACAATCCAGGAGGTCCCTGATTTCCGGGGCCGCCTTCCAGGGCCCAAACTTGACAACTGACGTCTTGTTTGCCTCCAGGGTGCGCAGGGTGTCAGCACAATGTACAGTATCCTCTTCCTTGCGCACTGCGCACACCAGCACGCTGGAGCTGCGCGCCGCCATGGCTTCAGCGCGTGCTAATCGCACCATGAGCTCCAGGTTCTCACTATAGCCAGGAACCCGCAGCAAAAACTGCTTTCGAGCCACCTGCTCTCCAAAGATCTTCGGAGTATCCTCGAGGAGCTTGACCAAAGGCTTGATTTCGTAGAACTGTGCTTCCCGGTACACCTCTGGGATGTGCTGAGTGGGCAGCTGCCCACTGCGGAGAAAGTCGAGGATAGGTCCAAAATAGGTGCCTGGGCGATCGATGAAGAAGCGGCCCTCTGAATCCATGCAGGCCTTGGCTGAGCTGGAGAACATCTCTGCCAGCTTTGAGCCAGGGAGTTTTCTCAGGGTGCCCATGGTGGTGGTGAAGAACTCGCCCCCCACATTCAGCTCCACTACAGGAGATACCTAGAGGCACAAGAGGCGGAGTCAACCAACAGCGCCACCTTCAGGTAGATCATGACTTACTTTCATCCAAAGCGTAACCTGGTACAGAACTTACCCACTGCGGTGGAGTGCGATCGGACTCATAGCGACACCTCCTTGGGTTTCCAAGGTGGTATCACTACGGAAGTAGATTGCCCAACCTATCTTCCCAGGCGTGGCTGGTGGGTTTGAACTGCCAGCCTTCTGGTTAGCAGTCACATGCCTTAGGCACTAGGTCACCAGAGCTCCTGGTACAGAACTTGTTTTATGCCGTCAAGTTGACCCAACTCATAGCGACCCCTCCTTAGGTTTCCAAGGAGGTATCACTACGGAAGTAGATTGCCCAACCTTCCTTCCCGGGAGTGGCTGGTGGGTTTGAACTGCCAGCCTTCTGGGTAGCAGTCAAATGCCTTAGGCACTAGGCGACCAGAGTTAGGGGAGCCATAATGATTGGCTTCAGCTGTTGGGAGGCCCATCTTAATGAAGAGGGTGTAGATTTGTGCTTTATAGCTCCAAAGGGTGGGCATTTTAAGGAGGAAAAAGATTCCTTTTGATACAGGAATGCCAATTCAAGCATTTGAGATTTCTCCTTTAGATCACAGAAGGTTAGCTAGAGAAGGCTGCTGTGGACACAAGTCTCAGCCATAACACTTCCAAAGTCTTTGACAAGGCTTTTTCCCTCCCTAGGCCTCAGTTTTCACAGTTATAAAATGGAGATACGGAGCTGTTGTGAAGTCAGAAGTTCCCAACCTGGGATGCTCAGATCTAAGATATAATAAATGTGGGGGATGGTGTGGTGGGTTTTAGAAAGGCTAAAGAAACCACATTTTTGTTCATTCAGGAAGAATTTCTTAGGTATTTACAGTGATGGGAGTTGGGGACAGAAAGCCTTATCTTATATAGATCAGACCTTCTGATTAGTATTTGGTTATGCCCTTGATTGATTAAAATGATGTAATTTATTTGATAAATGTTCTTCAAAATATGGCTCCATGGAGGGTAAATAATAAAAGGAATATTCTTGGTGATGAAATACAGTGGATGTGAAACTGCTTTGTCAACAGTGAAGAGAGGTGCAAATGTAAGTGAGAATTAGCTGCTCAACAGAAATTTTTAGTGGCCTCCTTTCTGTGCCAGGAGCTCTGGTGGTGCAGTGGTTAAGGCATTTGGCTGCTAAACAAAAGACTGGTGGTTCAAACCCACCAGCCCCTCCATGGAAGAAAGATGAAGCTGTCTGCTTCCTAAAATTTACACCTTGAAAACCCTATGAAGGTCGCTATGAGTCAAAATCAACTGGATGGCAGTGATTCTCCCTGTGCCAGACCCGGGGCTGAGCACTAGGGATGTGGGTGAGAGAGGTGTGATGCCTGCCCTGGAGATGCCCACAGGGAGAGGGACATGGAAACAGACCGAGAGCGTGGGCTAGAGCGTTCAGGGAAAATTGAGTGCTGCCACACGAACCTATCAAAAATACCAGAAGGCAGTATAATAATTGTCACATAAGAGATGATACGCAACTCACTATTCTTATGAACCAGATTTCTAAACAATCTTTATCACTTAAAATTCAGTTACTCATGTATCAGACATCTGGGACCCAGTGATGAACTAGCAGGACACAGTCTCTGCTCTCACACTTATGTATGCTTTGCATACATTTAATTCAATCTTCATTACAATCCTGTGGAGAATGTATTAAATTCACATCTTATAAATAGAAAAACTAAGGTTTATGGAGGTAAAATAAATTGACCGAGATCAACCAGCTATCGAGTGATGGTCTCAGGATTTGGACTCAGGTTAGTTTAATTCCAAAGCCTGCACTCTAGATCATTACATTAACTAGCTTTCAACCTTCAAATACCTCCACCCTTTATTCACTTAGTCATTAATTCATTCAGCAAAATGTATGGTCTATTACAAGCAAAGACTCTGGTGGCATAGTGCCTAAGGCATTTGACTGCTAACCAGAAGGCTGGCGGTTCAAACCCACCGCCACTCCTTGGAAGAAAGGCTGGGCAATCTACTTCCGTAGAGATACCTCCTCAGAAACCCAAGGAGGGGTTGCTATGGGTAGGATCCTACTCCATGGCAGTGGTTGTGCTTGTGTATTACAAGCAAGCCTTGTGCTGAGCAGGTGAATAGGACAGTCCTTGACCCCTGAGGTCACAGAGGAGCGAGGAAAACAGATGGCTAAATATTTTGGTGCTGAGAAGAAAGGTCAAAGGTAGGAGAGAATTTTGTGAGTGTGTGCTGGAGATTGTCAAGAAAGTTTCCTAGGAGACAGGATGGGCAGTGCTTATGGAAAAGACCTATGCAGTGTTAGGAGGGAAGACTAGATTTCTGACCTGAATATTCCACCAGAAGTCACTGCAGGGCTTGGGATGGAGACAGGACTCAGGAATGTCCTTTGATCTGTCTGAGGTGTGACCTTATTTTCAACCAGTTTGTGGGCTCTACTTCTAAGATTAGAGTGAAGTACTGGAATTAAGAGAGCCAAAGACAGACAAATTGCTGGGGAGAATTGAGTTGCCATGGCAACAGCTCCTATGGGGACAGTTCTGCTGACTGGAGGGGAGAAGGGAGAGAAGAGGATGCATCCCAACAATAGCCAAACAATGTGCAGTGAGGAAAATAAGCCCAGAGCCTGTGACTCCCTTTTTCTCCCATAAAGCTCAAGCCCTTGGCAAGGCTGTTTGGTTAACCCTGAGGTCACCTCTGTAAAGCAGGCAATTAAATGTAAAGTCACAGACTTTAACCCATGAATGTACCTATGCATTCTCAGCACTCATTCCAATGAAAGCTCACAGGCCCTCTTAATGTCCCCGTATCATAGGCAAAGAAAGCTCAGAGAAAAGAAGCAACTTGTCCAGGGTCACAGAGCTAGGAAGTGATGAAGTCGTAGCTAGGATCAAACCCTCTCAGTCTGACTTTGTGTCCAGTGCTCAGTACAGCACTGGTGTTGTGCTCCCCATCCCCTCCCAACTTTCAGTCCCAGTTCTGCTAATAATAAACTGTGTACCTGGGGCATTTCACATTCCCTCTCTGAGTCTAAGCTTCCCCAACTGAGAATTCTGAGTCTATCCAGCTCTGAAAAATCCAATGAATCCAATCACTTCAAGTAATTTCTGAAGCTAATTTCTAGATACTTTGCAAAATAGCTTTCATTATTTATCTCTCTCATTATTTATCAAATTATACCTCCGTCTTGTTCCCAGACTTAATTCTATTCCTCTTTTCTCAATTTTTTTCCCCAAAACTCCAATTTCTTCGCAAAATTCAGACTTCCTGCATTGCTCATAAATACTTCAGTATATGTATGTCTTCAGGACCACTTGTACCTCTTCATGGCCCCCTTTCCCACCTGTAGTACTATTAAAGCATTCCTGGGAATGAATCCTGTCCCAGGCCGTGTGTGCAGGGGCTGGGGATATCTGGTCTTTAGGATATCTTTCTACGATCAGAGGAGGGTCCTCTGGAGAACATAAAGGTGCTTCTGCCAGCAAATTTCTTTATTCTGCCACTTCTGGAATGACAGTCTGCTGCCGGCTAGGCCAGTACTGGCCTAAGGAAACAGGAATGAATCAGACAGACCCAGCCCTCACCTAGTCCCAGTATAAAGGGTCTTTATACATCTGCATCCCACCCCAAAATATTCATATACTTCTTAGGTCACCCTCAGCCAAGTTCAATGGCGCAGGGGGGTGGAGGGTATTTCCACTCATATGGCCCCCAAGCTCCTCAAACCTAACCTCTTCCACTGTTCTTTCTCAGTGGTGTGTAATCTTTTATTATTATTATTATTATTTATTTTATTTTATTTTTATTTGGGTAAAGATTTACAGAGCAAATTCACTTTCCATACAGCGGTTCACATATACTTTGTCATATGTCATTGACCACAGTTTTTCACAATGCAACAGCTCCCCTCCCACTTCCTCCCCATAGTTACCTCTTCCCAGTGTCCATCCCTCCATACTCTCCTGCCACCTGAGCTGTCTCCCTGTGTATAAGCAGCCCTTACTTCTCCCATGATTGTTCTCTCCAGGGCTTGTGTCTACTTGAGGTAAATGTTTAACTCACATGCCTGTACTTTGTTTGGCTGGAAACCACAGGTGTGAGTTCAATTCCAGTCAGTGGTGTGATCTTGCATTCCACTCTTGCCCTCCGCCATCTCCCTGCCTGAGCAATCAATTGCCAAGTCAGTTCCATGGCTCCCTGTGCCTTCGAATGCCCTCTCCTAAGCCATTCTCCATTCTGAAACCAGAGTACCTTTTCTGAAGTGAAAATCTGATCCTGTCACTAATGCATTAAACATTTCGGTGACATTTAGTTTCTTCCAAGATTAACTCCAGGCTCCTTTACAAGGTTTAAAAGGCCCTTTGTGACCCTTTGCTGCTTCTGCCTCCAACAGTAAGCTACCAGTACTGGCATCTGTCCCAACCACCTCCCACTCATCCAGAGCAGGCTAGGCTCCCTTGCTTGCACCCAAGCTTCCTTCACTTGGCCCACTCATCCTTCAAGCTAATTCCTTCAGGAATCTTTCCAGATGTACTGTCTCCTCTGTGATCCCAGAGGGCCCTGTACTTACACTGTTTATGCTAGCTACTCTCTTGCAATTCCCTGTTTGTTCGTCTGTATTCCCCATTCGACTGTGACGCTCTTCCAGGGAGGGAACTACCCTGGATTCATCACTATGTCACCAGTACCTATTGCAGGGCTCAGCACTCAGAGAATACTCAATAAATGTCTGTTGAACTGAACTGAGCTTATCCTCAGCCCTGATTTACAGAAGCACCTCCTATTCTGGGTGGTACAAGTAGTTTGTAATCCACTGCTAACCTAAAGGTTGATCAAACCCACCCAGCTGCAAGGCAGCGGGTCTGGCAATCTACTTCTGTAAAGACTACAGCCATGAAAACCCTATGGAGCATTTCTACCCTCTAACACACGGGATCATCATAAATCAGAATTGACTGTTGCTGTCTTGTTTGTTTGGTATTCTGATTAAGGCCATTCTTGCCCTTCCTGACGTCACACATGTGCTGGCTCCCTCCCTTACTGGGTAATTCATTCAGACATTTATTGTACATAGGGTGCTCTGGCACTGAGCAGGAGACTTTGTAAATACGTCACAACAATGACCTTATTATGGTGCCATTGGAAAGAGCCATACTCTCCCCACTGCTGGACCTGCCTTCTCTTCCTGCAAGTCTACAGGATGGCATCTAGCTCAAATGGGAATCTCCCGCTCCTAGAGTACCCTGGGCCTTTTCCCTATCCTCCCCCTACAGTACCCCTACCCAAGGCCGGGGAGGAGGCAGGCAAGCAGGGGCTCTGGGACCCTGCCAGAAGGCAGGGGCAGGCTGTATATTGGTGTTGTTGAGGGGCGGGGAGGTCCTCTGGCCAGCCTTAGTTGGATCTGCTTCTGCCGCTGGAAGGAGGGGTGAAGCAGGGGAGAGGGAGGGAAGAGAAGGGGACAAGAGATAAACCAGGGGACTTGGAGACAATACAAAGAGCAACTGAAACAAAGGTAGAGAGAACAGAGGGAGGAGACTAACAAAGACAGCGGGGACAGAAAGGTCAAAAAGGCGAGGCTACCAGATCCGGGAACACTAACGGAGACCGGAGACTGGAGACCTAGGCGCACTTAGGCGCAAAAAGAAAGCGATCAAAGCGGGAGGGACAGGCAAAGAGAGCACACGAGCACCCAGCTAGAGGTGGAGACAGTGTGCCTGAAGCTGGGGGACTCGGCCCGGGGAGCTGGACCGGCTGGGAAAACAGGAAAGGAGTGAAAGAAGAAAGAAATTCCGAGGGGAGAGGCGCGGGGCGAAGGTGGCACCTGCTTACCCCGGGACACGCACTCACCGTCGGCGTGCCTGTGTGGGGAGCAGCTAAGCCGGGCCGCGGAGACCGGGGCACCGGGGTTAGGCTCATCCTGGCACCGGGCAGGTGGTTTGCACTAAGCAGCCTAGCCACAGACGCCCGTCCAGCCCAGCCTCGCCACGTGCGGGGTCTTGTGACAGGCGGAAGTGTACCTGACTCCCCGCCCCAGGCTGAGAGGCAGGGCCCAGGGTGTAGATAAGGCGTCAGGATTGACCTAGGCTCGTCTGGGCTTGTGGTGAGACCCTAGGCAAGTCATTACCCCTTACTGGGTCTCGGGCTTCCTGTTAGTCAAATGAAGGATGCAGAGGAACTGACATTGCCAACCAGAGATTTTCAAGTTACTACAGCCCTGGAGGAGGTGAAAGATCAGCAAAGCCCATTTTACAGATGACAAAAGCCAGGTTCGGAGAGGTAGGGTGGTCAGTGTAGATAAATAACCTACCTCTCAGAGCAACTGCTAAGGTGCAAAGCATGACAGATGATGAAAAGAGCTCAATACCTATTATGTGAGGCTATTTTGTTTGTTAAAACATAACCCTATAGGAGGCAGAGAATAACTCCCCATTCCTTAAGTGTGGGCTGTGTAGTGACTTCCTTCCAAAGAATACAGTATAGAAAGGGGGAGAAAGAAGAGTAATTTTATGTGGAGAAACCTGACAAACACTACTTCAGTCAGATGATCAAGGTCAAGCTCAGCAGTCATAAATTATGTTCATAGTATGTACCCTTGATATGTTGTGATAAACATGGCACTTTACCCCTGTAAGTATCCTCCTAAAAAAACAACTCTAGTCCAATAACTAGGAAAACAGACAAATTCCAACAGAAGGGCATTCCACAAAACACCTGGCCAGTACTCCTTAAAACTGCCAAAGTTATCAAAAAGAGAAAAAGTCTGATTAACTTTCATAACCAAGAGGAGACCTAACAACTAAATGTAATGTGGTATCTGGAACAAAAAACAGACATGAGGTTAACATTAAAGAGATCTGAATAAACTGTAGACTTTAATTAATAATAATGCGTCAGTGGTGGTTAATTAATTAAAATGACCATACTAACATAAATCCTAATAGGGGAAACTGAATGTGGCGTGTATGGGATCTCTCTGTACTATCTTTTCAATTTTTTCTGTAAATGTAAACTTGTTCTAAAAAGATAAAGCTCTGTAGTGAGGCACATCGGGAAGGAGTCCTGGCCCTGCCACTTGCCATCTGTGTGACCATCATCACTTCAGCTCTCTGAGCCCAAATTGCCTCTTTTTGTAAAATACATGAGAAAACTTATTTTACTGGGTTGTTGTAAGGATTAAATTAAGTGAAACAATCTGCAATACTTCCCAAACTTTCCTGATGGTTAAGATTCACCTGGGGTATTTGTTAAACACCATTCCTGGTTCTCACAGGAGCTCTGGTAGCGTAGCATCTAAGGCACTTGACTGCTAACCAGAAGTCCGGTGGTTCAAACCCACCAGCCTCTCCTCGAAAAGAAGGTTGGGTAATCTACTTCTGTAATGAAGTAGATACCGCCTCAGAAACCCAAGGAGGGCTTGCTATGAGTTGGGTCTGACTCAACAGCACACAACAACAACAACAACAATATTCCTGGTCCCTACTCCGAAATACTGAACCCAGATCTCCAAGGAAGAGGCCTGGGAATCTGTATATTTAACAAGCATCCAAATGATTCTTGTCATCTTAGAAATTTGGGGAACTCTGGAATCATGCATTTATAGACTTTTCCTAGAGCAAGGCTCAGTAAAAGTCAGTGCTCATTTTCCTCGCCTCCATGGCACCACCCCATCCAGCATTACCCCATCCAGCTGTGGGTACCTTTCCAACCCTCCTTTCTCCCCCTTCCCTATGTGGGTTATCACTTCATTTATTGAACAGAGAGTTACTGATACTGACTTTGGCTAGGGGTTAGAGGTTAAGAACACAAATGTTTGAAACCTCTCTCCACCCTAAAGATATGAGTGCAAGAACATATGAAAATATACTGGACTTTTGCTTCTAGCAACATGGAAGACTAGATATTTTGAAATCCTTCAGCAACAAAGTATCTAAAAATGTTGATGGCTGAGCAGGCGAGGGAGTCAAGAAAATGCTCTGAGATGATTGAGTACCAACTACATGGGCTGCCTCAGAGATGTCTCCAACCCTGGGAGTTACCTACAACTTTTAAGGGGAAAGGGTGTAGGATACAAAGCCTGGGACACTCATAGGGTAAGGTGTCATATCAGAGATGGTAAAAGAGACTATAAAATTAGGGCAAAAAATTTGCCACTCAAAAGGATACTGTCCTATTCTGTCCTATTCTTTGGTTTTAGGTGGAGAAAAGTCTCGCCTGAAAATTTTTGGCTATGGACAAGAGCTCAAATAGATCTGGGGCCCAAATATTCACTCTTTCCATGGTCAAAACTCAAAAACACACAAGTATGGTCTCAATTTAGAGGAACAAAACAGTAAGAAGGTAACCAAAAGTGCAGAGAAGAAACAAGTTTACAACAGCCACAACCTCATCTACCCTGAGATCATAAGAACTAGATGGTGCCCAGCTACCAGTACTGACTCTTCTGACACAATAGTTGTTCATGGATAGAATGGGAGAAAAATATGGAACAGAACTCAAAGTGTTATTTAAAAAAAAAAAAAAAAAAAGCCAGATAAACTGGAACAGTAGAGCACAGAGCTCCCTGAAGACTATCACCCTGAGAAATTCAATAAACATAGAACTGAGCCTATCCCATGAGATCACCTTTTAGCAAAAGAGCAGAGTGGCGCACAAAATGAAGGGTATCACCTGTAGGATCAATGCCCTACTTTAAAAACATCATTATGAGACCAAAAGATCAATAATATTTCAAAGCAAGGATGAGAAGATAAGAGGGCAGGGAGACTAGAGCACTGGAAAGGGAACAAGCAGCACAAAGAGAATGTTGACACATTGTGACAAATGTAACTAATGTCACTGAACAATTTGTGTGGATATTCAGATACTATTATTTAAAAAAAAAAAAAAAAAAACAGGAATCTAGTCTAAAACGGACCTGAGTTGCTCTTGCCCTCAGATGCCTGAATAAGAAAATGAGAATCTTCCCTGAACAAAAGTACATTCAAACCAAACCTCAAAGGAGCCATACAGATAGAGCAGAACAGTGGTGTGATTCACCATCAAAAGTCACAAACCACAAGAGCAAACGAGGGATCATGACCAAGAGTCAGCAGAAACAGATCCACAAGCACCTCAGATACTGAGATGATCAGATATGGAATATAAAATAAAGTGTGTTTAATGTGCTTAAACAAATAAAAGGGTGTGCTTAAAACATGAGTAAGAAGCAAGAAGAGGTGATTAAAAAAAAAAAAAATGAGCAGGCAGACTTGAGAAAGAGCCAAATAGGTCCTAGCAGTAAAAAAATAACAAATGAAAATTAAACTTAGCAGAGGTTATGGAAATACAATTGAAGAAACAATAAGATACTATTTTTCATCCATCACTATGACAAATATCAAAATGAACAATAATATGCTAGCATGGTGAGGATGCATTGGAAACAGCTGCTCAAAATTTGCTGACTGGAGTGTGAATTGCTGTGATCTTTTTGGAAGGTACAAGGCAGCATCTGCTAAAATGAAATACAGGTACCATTGGACTCAACAACCCCGTTTTTGGAAATCCATCTGATAGAAATAAAAGCACCACTCTGACAGGACATATATAATCTTTCATATTTATCACTGTTGGTTTGTGGTGGCAAAAGTTAGAAACATAGGGGAATGGTTGAATAAACAAACTATGGTTCATTTATGCCATGGATTACTATGCACACATTCAAAAGAACGAGCTGGATCTATGTCTATTCATTTAGAAGCATGTCTAGGATTTGTTATGTAATTAAAAACAAGTTGCGGAGCAGTGTAGATACAGTGGGAATCCACTTTTGTAAAAACATATAACATTCTCTGATACAAGTTTCTATCTACATATGTCAACATAAAATCAAAAAAGTATAAAATGGTATACCCCAGGTGTTGGCATTGATTATTAAGCAGGGTGGGGGTAGAAATGGAGGAGGGAGATTATTACTTTTTATCTTAATATAGCTTTGTATTTTGTCATGTCATTAGTTGCCGTGAGCATGGAAAAGTATATAAGAGAAAAATAAAATGAAACGTCAACACCACAAGACAGGCAGAAGGCATTCCAGGAGGAAGTTAGCCTTTCCATGTGGGTGATCTGGGGAGGCTTTATGGAAGAAGTGGCATGTAAGCTGGTATCTTAGTTCTCTAGTGCTGCTGTAACGGAGATACCACAAGTGGATGGCTTTAACAAACAGGAATTCATTCTCTTACAGTTTAGGAGACTAGAAATCCAAATTCGGAGTGCTGGCTCTAGAGGCTGGGTGAAGGCTCCTTGACCTTGGGCTTCAGCTCTGCCTCGTGTTCCAGACCCACTGGAGCAAGTGAGAGGCTTCTTCTGACTCATGCAGCTGCTGGCTGCTGAGGCTGATGAACCCAAGATCAACAAGTAAAATGGCACAATCCCAAGATTGGCAGGCAATGGTATTGGTTCAATGACAGATACATAGACCAATGGAATAGAATTGAGAACCCAGGTATAGATCCATCAACCTATAGTCAGCTGATCTTTGACAAAGGCCCCAAATCCATTAAGTGGGGAAGAGAATGTTTGTTTAATAAATGGTGCTGGCAAAACTGGAGATCCATTTGCAGAAAAATGAAACAAGATATGTACCTCACACCACACACAAAAACAAACTCCAGATGGATCAAAGACTTAAATGTGAAACCTAGAACTATACAGTTTCTCAAGGAAAATTTAGGCTCAAACTTAAGGGCCCTAATATTTGGTATAAATAGACTACCAAGCATAATTCAAAATGCACCAACAGCAGAAGAGAAGCCAGATGATTGGGACCTTCTAAAAATTAAATGTTTATGTGCTTCCAAAGACTTCTCCAAAAGAGTCAAAAGAGAACCTACAGATTGGGAAAAAATATTTGGTAATAACATATCTGACAAGGGACT